ATCTCAGAATAAATACAAGATTTCTATTGTTTTAGCCACTGTGACCTTGACCCTTGACCTTTTGGCCCCAAATGCTATAGGCTTCTTAGGACTGCCAAGGACAATCCACAAACCAAATTTGAAGTTCATATGTAAAGTATATCTCAAGTTATCACGCTGACAAAATTTCTTTTGTTTTAGCCACTGTGACCTTGACCCTTGACCTTTTGGCCCCAAATGCAAAAGGCTTCTTAGGATTGCCAAGGACAATCCACAAACCAAATTTGAAGTTCATATGTAAAGTATTTCTCAAGTTATCGCGCTGACCAAATTTCTTTTGTTTTAGCCACTGTGACCTTGACCCTTGACCTTTCGGCCCCAAATGCAAAAGGCTTCTTAGGATTGCCAAGGACAATCCACAAACCAAATTTGAAGTTCATATGTAAAGTATATCTCAAGTTATCACGCTGACAAAATTTCTTGCGTTTTAGCCACTGTGACCTTGACCCTTGACTGTTTGGCCCCAAATGCAAAAGGCTTCTTAGGATTGCCAAGGACAATCCACAAACCAAATTTGAAGTTCATATGTAAAGTATTTCTCAAGTTATCGCGCTGACAAAATTTCTATTGTTTCAGCCACTGTGACCTTGACCCTTGACCTTTCGGCCCCAAATGCAATAGGCCTCTTAGGATTACCAAGAACAATACACAGACCAGATTTCAAGTTCATATGTTAAGTATTTCTCAAGTTATCGTGCTGACAAGATTTGTCCGGACACACACACCCACCCACACACACACCCAGACTTGTTTCACATACCTAGTGTGGACTTTCCTTTCTTTTCGTGTAGTTAAGGAACACCAGTGGAAAAACTCATTTTTCCCAAACTGTGAAAACTCTTACAACCCAATTTTTTTTCAATGATTCCCTTTAGTGTTTCTCTTCATTCTGCTACGGATAAACCTAACCCAAAAATGCCTCTAAACCTGTTTTCCAGAAATGGGGAAACACTGTGTGGACGTGGGCAAGTCAACACTTCGTCGCTGCTACCTACATTATGTGGACGTCTTTTGTTCGGAAGTCCACACTGCGTATGTAAGACAAGCTCACACCCACCCACCCACACACCCACCCACGGAAGGACAAGGCGGAAACAGTATGCCCCTTCGGCTTTGCCGCGGGGCATAAAAATGTCAAAGTTAGCCGAAAATTGGCTAAAACGGTCACCGTGGCAATTCCGTGCAAAAATGGACATGGCTGAAAAGTGGAAACTTTATCAAATCTTTAGATCCACAATCATAACAACCTCAAACATGGTACCAAAATTTGAGTGCTGCGCCAGTGAGATCATGAGATGGGATATATGGTAAACATTTAGATGAAATGATGGAATTATAGTGAAGAATTGCATGCTTTTAGGGACTCAAAATGGTGCTCAAAGTTTAGCGTTTGGCATTTGGGATTTCGTACACATCATCTTCAACTTGGACAGGTCCAGTGTCCATATTCTCGTACACCATGGAGTCGTCATTAGCAGGGCTGTCCATTTCCACACCACGGGTATAAGTGTATCGAACAACCTTCTTGGGGTCAGGAGTGGCCGCATTCCTTGGAGTTGGTGAGGCTCTCTTCTTCTGATATTTTCTCCACACAGCAAGAGCGACCAGTGATGTGATGACCACACCTGCAAGGAAACAGCCTATAGCTGCGCCGACGACATCCTGCATCCCCACCCCAGGGGATTGCAAGGGCTGCCAATCGTCAGAGGGTGTTGCCTCAGTGCCTCGCTGGGAGGGTGTTGTCTCCAGGCCAAGCACTTTCAGAGTGGACCAAGAGCTGGGTTTGCGACAGTCCATCTCATACCAGACTTGGCACACTATTTTGGTGCCATCATCCTCGGCCAACACAGGTGAGATAGTCAGGGTTTTTCCCGAAGCGTCTACCTGGAACCTCCCCTCAGTGCCGTTTATCTCAGAGCGTTCCTTAGTATCCCGATGTAGTTTCCTCCAGACGAAACGACTTGAAGTCGTCTCGCCTTTGGTGCTGCAGGAAAACTCAGCCTGACCACCAACAGGGGTGTAGGAAAACTCAGGCGAGATAGACACTGGGATTTTGAGAGGCACAACGGCACAACGAGCATCATCGGAATTCTCAAACATATCCAAGGGTGATGCTTCACACCTGAATCGCTTGCAATTGTCCTCGTTCTGGAGAATCCTTGTGACTGTGTAAGAGTGGTGCTGGTGGGGGGATAAGTACAGTGTTCCCCCAAACACGGAGTCCCCCGGCAGGGACCAACTGATGGCCCTCACCATACCCTCACTATCGACTGGGGGAGTGCAAGTCAGGATGACCTGGTCTCCAGCCCGGTGTTTATCTTTTCCAGGACTGATGTCGTCACATCGGAGTGGACTACGTAGACGCAAAGAGGTGTGGTTACCAGCTTCTCTGCTAACGCTGAGTCTGGCTTTATAGGAATTATAGTAGGCATCCGGATACTGAGGGGATATCCTACAGAAGTACTGACCACTGTCGACAGTAGACACATTAATGATGTGAAGATACTTAGTGCTACCAGAGGACTCCACAGAAAATTTATCAGCAAACTGTTCATTGACAACATCATCATCATCACTGCTAATGACAACTGGCTGCTCAGGGAAAATCTGATAAACCCACTGCGTTGCTGATTGCAAAAGCATATAGTGAAAGAAGCAATCACAAGAAAATGTAGCATTGTCACCCTCGACCACAAGCTGATCCGTTGGACCATGGCAATACGCCCTCGTCTGAGATGGCAAGAAAAATGCCATCCCCGCAATTACCAGCAAGAAAACGTGAATCGAAGAACGCTTCATTGTCCCACCACAGTCTCTCCCCAAATATTCAAGTTTCCTTGTGTCGCACTCTTTTTAAGGCAAAAGCAGTTGGCATGGACCTTTCACTAAAACTTAGCAAAATTGAATAAGTCCACAATTTACCCAAGATCATTGTTTTTGGGATTGTTTTTCCACCAGGGTGTTGTGTTTAAGAATTTATAACAAACATATATTTCCTTGTTCCTTTTAGCAGCACAAATATGTTCTTGTTTTTAGATGTGCAATTTCTGCACAGATTTCATGTACGTACATGTCCATTATCTGCAAGCAGGAAATTTGTCGATTTTTTGGCAAAATTTTTGACTTTGTCAATAATATAGCCAACATCTTTATTTTTGTCTTCATTTGTTCCTTCTAGGGGACGCTTGGGATAATAAATACATGTACTTCCTTGTTTTAATTCATGTTCCAGTTCAGAAAATATTATTCCTTTGACTAATCTCATTGTGAACATTTTTATTGATTTTCTAAGACTGCAGATATCAGATGGGGAAATTACGGCCAGATTCAGACATCGCATCAACCATTATATTTGTTTTAAAAACAGCACATGGAGTAATAAAATAATAATAATTATACAGCAATTAGGGCCTATATAATAATAGGCATGCAATCTGTAAAACCAATTCAATTAACTTGAGAAAAAAAGGACTTAAATTCAAAAGAACTTGAGAAAGTTGTGAGCTGCCACTGAAAATGGGTGATGTCAGGTTCTTGTCCGAAATCGTCGGGAAGGGAGTTCCATTGGCAAGAGGTACATGTAATAAGAAAAAGATTAATTAATTGGCTAGTCGAGTACGAGAAACAAGGAGCCTGCTGGTTGATCTCAACCCAGACCTCATCGGCAAAGTGGGGCTGCACCATGTTATCAGTAACATGACACAGTGGGGAAGAACCATGAATTGTCTTGAATGTGAGGAGGAGACCTTGAACTGAATTCTGTACTAATAACTTGAAACCAATCAAGCTTGTCGAGTGCACTCTAAGAACATATGACAGCTCAATACTGATCATGATGTATGTAGGTCATTTTTCCCCAAGCAGTTGAAATGCCAATGTACATCGATACCAAATCCTTGATAAAAAAAAACAAATCAGGAAGTTTGACAAGTTTTGCAAATTTGCAGGGTAAAATCAAGCTGCTGCCTTAAACTTCAACAAAGCCTGGTGCCCTTGCAAGTTTGTGTACAAAGAATACATGCAAGTACTTTCATGCTCAGAAAGGACATTGGGAGATTTGCAAAGGCGTTTCAAACCCCAAAACCGAGGGAATTAGGGTTTGAGAGTGACCCAAGAAGTACAAGGTATGTAAAGTACAGTAAGAACCTGTGTTAACATGCCTGTACAATAGGAAGGTTTACCCAAGAGTTTTTTTTTTATAACCAAAAGTGCATTTCACACTTGATAGAAAATGAGGAATACTTTACAGTTCCTGAATTCAGGGAAGGAGACTTGTAAATCAGTAATTCCTTTTGTGAGTTTTTTCACAGGTGTTGCAATTTAATCCCAGCCCAACAGGGTCGCCCTATGAACAAAGCTCCAAATCTCTTGTACACAGTGATCAAACATGTCCAAGTACTTAGTACATCAAAGAATTCATTCATTTCGAAACAGTCCTTAGCTATTTTACTGCTTGCCCCATAAAATAAATGACATAGTCATCCACCACTAAAATGGGTTCTTTGTTAACGTTTCCTGTCTCAAACAAAACAAAAATTTGGGGAATAGTACATTAGTGACAGCATAAAAAAACTGTTTGTTATATCCAAGACTGGATCACAAAGGGAAAAAAAACGGTTCTTTGTCAATATTACCAAAAAAGAGAGAAAATTACGGGCCTTGCGTGTGCATGCATACAACACTGCCAGTCATTGGTTGGTCGGGATGTTGACTTAAGTACATAAATAATTTGTCAACATCATTAAAAAAATTTACAATATTGCCAAAACTGTTGCAAGCTAGAGAGGTAAGCATATAAATTTTAAGGGTCTTACATTTATATGTGCGTGCATAACAATGGTCAACCGTGTTTGCACGGCACGTTTCTTACATTGATCAGTTGCTTTCCTTAATAAATCCTGAGAGCTATTTTTGAACTTGAGCGCTCAGATTCAACATTCACAAAGATTTGTATAACCTACCAGCATAGACGGTGTTTCTGTCTACTCCAGCTTCGTGGTCTCCGAGTGTCGTCACTTCGCGATTGCCGTGGTTCGATGCAAGGTATGCTTGTAATTCTTTTGTCCTGCGAGTTTTCCCACTACACGGTGGTCCGCATACCACCACAAACGGCATGGTTCTGAGAGAATTCTATACCTGTTGTCTCATTTGTCTGCAAGTAAGAGAAAAGATCTGGTGATTAAACATTAAATTCTGATCATTCAGTGTGGACAGGGATGGAATGCATTTATCTTGATGCCACGTTTCTCAACGTGAATGTATCTAATGTGAAGTAACACCATGTGGTATTATACAACACCTGAATAAATCCCCGTCATCTGATTGGTGAATTGTAGATCACGTGACATATTATTATTCGGTTTAATGCACGGTGCGACCATGCGTTATACCATGCGTTATACCGTTTCACTTTGCGCTTGTTCCATGACGCGGTATTTGCGTGCAAAATGCATGCTGGTGTGCGCGTTCAGCGTAGCGCGTATAGACCGCTTGCAGACGCGTTCGATAATTGACGCGCGAAGGTGCGCGACGCCATGTTGTGGGACAAAATGTGCATGGATAGATATGCGCTTGTCCCACAACATGGCGTCGCGCGCCTTCGCGCGTTGATTATCGAACGCGTCTGCAAGCGGTCTATTGTTCCAAAGAGCCAGCGCTACAGCTTTGGGTTCAAACATTTTCGTGAAGGGGTAGTTCAACATCTTTAAAATCAAAATAAATTGTAGTTTATAATTTACCAATCAAATGACGAGAATTTATTCAGGTGTTGTATAAAACAAATAACGAATGTTTTACGTTCGTGCGATGGAAAGAATAATTTCATTCGGTGACAGATTGAATGTTCTATTCCACTCGGCTTCGCCTCGTGGAATAGAACATTCAATCTGTCACCTCATGAAATTATTCTTACCATCGCACTCACAAACATTCGTTATTTGTATAATAACTACTGCTCAGTGATATTTAGTTCTGAAAAGAACTTGTCCTGCTTATTATCAACTTTCGCTAAGTAGTTTTAGTTTTGATAAGAACAGTCTCCTGACGATGACTAGAGCAGCTAGTCAAAACGTTGAGACCAAAGACAAGTTCTTTTAGAACTTAAAGCAGGACTATTATCAGAACTAAAACTACTTAGCGAAAGTTAATGATAAGCAGGACAAGTTCTTTTCAGAACTAAATATCTACATGCACTGAGCAGAAGTTATTACCACATGGTGTTACCGCAAACCGAAGCGATACCGATACTCCACCATGCAAAGCCTCAAATCTTACAACTAATGATGGTCAATCACTACAAATATGTCGATTGATTTAAAGGGAATGTACATCACTGGCTTTTGCTGTAATTTTCAGAAACAAACTATTTTGGGGCTTAGTATAATAGATCAAATATTGTTACACTGACATGTTTGAAGTTTTGCGTTCGAAAATGCTGGTATAAACCAAGAAAAACAAAAATGTTCAAGTAGTCTGATCCCTGACTCCACTAAAATGAAATGGATCAAAAATGCCGGAAAACTGTAAGGTAAGGGAACCAGTCTAGCTGGCCTGCACCCGTTCATGAACATGGAACCAATAGCAAACAACGTTTGGACTGGAAAAAAAAAACAACGGTAAATATGGAGCAGTAGTTGAAAAATAGTTAGGTCTTTCCAACGGTGGTCGGCCGACCACTGTTGGAAATGTATACAAAAGTACATTTTTCTTGAAAATTGCTTCACACCAGGTGCCATAATTTTACACAATGCTTAAGACTGTCATTTACCAACATCCTAGTAAGGTATTTCGTAACAACTTGGTAGTTTTATATTTCGATGTTTGCAAATGTTGTATTTTCCCTTTAAAAAAAAAATAATAATAATAATAATAATGTTCAAACATTAAGTATTTTATGGAAGTCAACCGTTGCGCATGTGAGTCACATATCAACCGAATGGTTCTCTCAAAGGGGCTTAATTACTTCCCGTTAAAAAAAAATAAAGCCATGAATCAGGAAGAAAAATTAAACACTGCATAACCAATCCCATCCTGCCTAATCCGGTCGACTAGATTGCCTTTTACATGTATGTTCATAAGGTGATTTGTTTAACTTGGAATTTTAGGCCTCATAATATTCATGAGCCAAGCATCGTTCTTTCTTTGGTCAATGTTCCAACACGTCTGGGAAGTGAAAGGGCAACTCTGCATGAGCTCAAGCACGGCACAGGTACTAGGTAAGAGTGAACGGGGCTGGAATTCAACTGCTCTTCATTGCGCACAAATCTTGTGTCTTTGACAAGTACCGATAGGGTTGGATGCTATGTTGCATGGTCATGTTATAAATGATGATGGTTAAATTAGGATTTGCCCTTCACCGACGTTTAAACACTGTATACTCAGGGTGTTACCTCCCGAGTGAAAGATGGAAAAAATCACTCGGGTGGGACTCGAACCCACAACCTCCTACCTTCTAGATTCGAGCCAGCCAACCGATCCCGTTAGCTCGGTGGTCGAGTGGCAAGACATCTGCACTAGAGTGATTTTTTCCATCTTTCACTCGGGAGGTAACACACTGAGTATACAGTGTTTAAACGTCGGTGAAGAGCAAAACCTAATTTGATTTATATCAGCCCGACGTAAAAAAAAAATAGTAACACTATGTGGTAATAACTACTGCTTAGAAGATATTTAGTTCTGAAAAGAACTTGTCCTGCCTATTATCAACTTTCGCTAAGTAGTTTTAGTTCTGTTCAGAACAGTCCAGCTTTAAGTTCTTAAAGCTGGACTGTTCTTAACAGAACTAAAACTACTTAGCGAAAGTTGTAAAGCAGGACAAGTTCTTTTCAGAACTAAATATCCTCTAAGCAGTAGTTATTACCACATGGTGTTACCGCAAACCGAAACGATACCGATACTCCACCATGCAAAGCCTCAAATCTAACTCACTCTCTTTACACAAGACAACGCCGGTTTTCCTCATAATCTGGTCGAATGCCCCCCCCCCCTCACATTAACTACAATCGTCTAAATGGTATGGTCGGTTGTGCTAGGGATGTTGTCCCTAACAATCAGCTACTATATAATTCCTACCACAGTCCTCATTTGAAAATCACAGGCGTGTGGAAAAAGGCACATCTGGACTTTTCTAGACGTTTGTGATTTCTCTAGACGTGCATAATTCTCTTCACATGCTGAAACGAGGCTACTGTTTGTGTAGACCCGTGAACGTGGCGTTGTATACAAGCCACGTTCACAGGTCTACTGTTTGTGCTGTCACAAGCAACATTTTCTCATCACCGACATATTTTTTTCCTCACAAATTATGAAGAATAATTATGCCGTAACCCATAAATGTATGCCAAGGTGTGTGGTACAGAGGGATTCAGGCGTGCGATTATTCGCACTTCTTGGGAAGCTTTTAGGTGTGCAATGGCGTGGGGGTGCGATCGCAGGCCTCAAATCTGAAGGACTGCTATAGTATAGTCGATTTCAAGGAAGAAATGCAAAATTACTGATCCCTTTGTCTATCTCCCTCCACTTCTTATTGGGAGATATTCCAAGAACTCTCCAGGCCCTGACCAGCATAAATCATGGAGCATTGGAGGTCTCATTAGTTATTGGCTCGAACTCGAAGTTCGAACTCAAACCACATTGTCATTGGACAATTAATCGCTCTACTGAGTGGAGCGTTGAACTACGGTACCCTCCGACATGTCCGAGGCTCCGTACAAACAGAAGGTACCGTAGTTCAACGCTCCACTCAGCATGCTCAGTAGAGCTAAACAATTAACTGTGATTTAGGCCCCGATGCAAAATTATCAAAGTGTAGCAATTTTTTGCACACCTTTAGTTTGCACTTAAAATGATGACTGACAAATCTGAGGTCTACTTTTGGTGAGTTATCATAATCACAATAAATTAAATGTAGCCCTTACAATCGGCAGCAGAAGACTGATGCATGATGATGTATGCATGATAAACCACATGTCCGTTTGCCCAAGTACTTATCAACAATGGAGGGCGCTATTTTAAAAAATGGTCAAAGTTCAACTCGTTTCTCGGTTACAATTCAGGGCTTCTTTTCAACATCTGTTTACCCTTATTCTGGACAGTTGTCACTGAATATCAAACTGCAAAATGATAGCTAGTGCACTGAGTAAATACCATTGGTGTTATAAGTTGTTAGCACCACGAAATTCGTCACAATTCCAGTGGATGCCGCACTGTCAAGATCCGTCTTTCGTTCTCTGCAGGTGTAGCTCCTCCCACCGGAAAATGATTAGCATGAGAAGAGGATTGTGGGGCAAGGTTTCGCGCCAAAATCAAACGATTCCGCGCGAAATCTTGTCATTTCCTAGCGGAGGCGGAGGATCGGTGTACGATACAACCTTGTCTTTGGCAACAGTGTCTTCAAGTTCAAGCACAGAATTTACCGATCAAATGCCTGGTGCTGCTGAAGAAACGACCTATTCTCCGTCTTCTAAACGTGCCAGGCTCGACGAAGGAAATATGCCGACCAACACGGCAATATTGCCCCCAGTTCTGCGCTTTGCAAAACTGTCGGAGAACGCAACGCCACCAGTGAGGGGTTCAGAATTAGCCGCCGGCCATGATTTGTACAGGTAGGTCTGTGCATGCACTACATGAACATAAATTTTAGAATTTTGCCTTAACTCTATTTTTATTTTTGGCATGTTGGATAAAGCAAGGACAAAATGTTCATCAGACATCAGCATGCCCATCCATCATTGCGCAGGAATCATTCAGCATATGTTCAGACATTGCTATGTCAGATGCTGATGAGAATTGAGATAAGCCATGTAGGGCCTAGGCCTACAGATGCATGCCTAGCTAGGCTAGGCCAGTTTAATTGTTAAAATAAAAGTAATAAAGCTGAAAAAATGCAGTCCATCATGAACATGTCAAAAAGGCTAAGCATCAAATCAACATCAAGTCTAAACTATTATTAAAGCCTCAAAGTCAAAACCAAAGGCCAAAAAATATAGGGAAAGATTTCCATAGCCTAGCCCTAGGCCTATCTGGCCATCAGTAATTTTTCCCTTAAAATCCCATCACGGCATCAGCCATCAAAAGTGGTCATGGTGCTAATTTTGCCTTTAAGAGCATAGGCCATAAAAGGCAAAATTAGCATGTTTTAGGCCTACTTTTAGTTTTACAAATTTGAAGTTTTACTGAAAATTCAGAAAACACTTAAAAATTTTCAATTCAGACCAGTCCCATAGGGTTTGTGCACAGGGTGACAAAGTGATGGCCAGATGTGGGAATCTTTCCAAAAATAGTTCCGCTTCCGGTTACCCAGCCTACCTTCATGAACTTAATATTTTTTTGGCCCGACTGTAATTGTAAAGTTGTTATCGGCAAGCTTAAAAAAAAACCTGTTGTGGTCTGATGGTTGTCTTTTCTGTTATGAAACTCCTCTCAACAAGTGTGGCCTCAAAAATGCTTGCAACATTTCTGCTTTCCGTATTTTTTTGTTTGCCTAGGCCTTAGCATGCCTAGGCCTTAGCATGCCTAGGCCTACTTACATTTGTGGAAAGAATGTTTAGACCTGACGCCACTTCAGCTGTTGTATATCATGTAGGCCTAGGCCTACATGGAGTCTATATGGAGAGTCAAGAAAAGTTTTTCCTAAGTATTTACTTACAAAATTGGAAATGTTTCTTGGTCCCAGATTCATGTCTTACCGTCACTTTTGCAATAACTGACCTTCATATTTGAGATGATATATGAAGAAAAAAGCAGTGTCAGGTTGCAACATTCTTTCCACATTTTGTCCACATTTACTACTATATTTTCAAAAAGAAGCCACTATTGTTTTACAAGATCCAGCAGGCAGCACACAGGAATATGCAGGGATTTAGTTCTGTAGAACCCTCCTAAAGCACTATTATTAATTAACAGTCACAGACAGTAAAAAAAAAAAAAACAATCCTCTTCCCCTGCCATGCCTTTTGCACAGGCTGGTCACCAACAGTCAGATCATATTTGAAGCAAGCACTATGACTAGTCAAATTCAGTCAGCAGACAAAAGCAGGCAGGAAGTAGGCACACCTGGCTTACGCCAAAAAAATAGTTCTCCTGGTTTTTCTACCCTTTTCTAAGAGCCCCTACCCGATTTTTTTTATGGGAAAAATGAGGGAAAAACACCCAAAACCATCAATTTCTACCTTTTACCCTTGATTACATGCAGACGCCTCCATATGATTGTAAACAAAACACAAAGCAAACAAAAAAAATCCCTACCTACCTACCCTATATTCAAATGCCATGTAATCGGAAGCAGAATTATTTTTTTTTGGCCTTATCAATTACCTACAGTCAAACATAGCTGTATCAAGTTACATAAACAGTCACAGCCAGTCAATCCTGCTTTATTTTATGTGGGCTGGGAGCTCTTAACTTAAAAACAGTCAATTGATGTATTTTGACTGAAAGTCTGAGTGAAATGACAACTTTGGACAGAAGGAACGTATTGGAGGGCTAATTTGTGTCATAGCTAAGTTTGAACCAATTCCTGTTTTTCCAGCGCCGAGGATAAAATCGTTCCAGCAGAGGGCAAACAGACAGTGATGACGGACATTACGATTGAGCTTCCAGAAGGATGTTATGGAAGAGTGGCACCAAGATCGGGATTGGCCCGGAAAAATCATATTGATGTTGGTGGTATGTATTTTGTTTTGACAAATGTGCATTTCAAATGTTAAAGTTGATGCTATTATTTAGAAATTTTTTTTGGGGGGGGGGGGTTAGTGCTGCAGCCGAACTGGACCAAAATTCACCAAACATTATACATAGCACTTCCAAACCGAACTGAATTGTCCAGTTAAGATTTTCAGAAATCATGCTGCCCAAACATTACAAATCCGAGTTTCAATGCTTGAAAAAAAATGCATTAAAAACAAGAAAAAATATGTAAACAGAAAAGACAAGTTTTAGTAACTTTAAACTGGAACATTCAAAACAGGTCTCATTCTCTGCTTTTCCTCGTGGATTTTCCTGCTTGTGGTTGTTAGATTCATAGAGACAGTATTGTTTGATTGAAAAGTTCACTTTGATCCATAAAAGACCTAGGTGATGGCAGTGAATTAATTCATTAGGCTTTTAAAACAACCAAACAAAATAACATACGAATTTATAATCCTAACAGACTTCAAATTTACATGAGAAATTAAACATGGGGAAAAAAAGGTTTACAATTTCCATACTATTCGGTTATTTTGGATTGGTTTGTCTTGGAATGCATTGTGCAGAACTGTTTACTCAAAAGCTGTATAAACTCTGCAGTTTGCCCCATCTTTTCCTCGTTTCCTGTCGATCAAAAAGTCTTCACACCTTATCAGGACGGCTGGCAACCTGGCTGTCAGTGGAATCCTGGTGATTTTGGAGTGATATAGGTGCCTGACATGTAGCGCCTTTTGTCCGCCGCACTTGGCGTTCCAGCTCCAGATTCTGTTGCCGGGACCGTCTACATCATGGCCCCAAAAGCCAATATTTGATCTGCGTCCGTGTCAAAATTTAAACAATGGTGGCTGCTGTCCAAAACAGAGTGGCAAGCTAAACACCATTACAGATTGACCTACGACCCTAGATCATTTACAACCTAGAAGGACAGTTTTATTCAAATCTCAAGTTTTCTTTGAAAGTTTGTTTTATGGTTTTATTTTGCTGGTTTATTTGGGGGGAGGGGGGTTGTTTGTGTTTGTTTGGGATTTTGTTTTGCATCCACATTTGCACAAGTTGTGGACCTCCCCTAACTCAGGTGTGAGGCCTTTTTTTTTTTAAATGGTTTGTTTGTTGGGGTGTTTGTTTGTTTGGGTTTTATTTAAGGGGGGGGGGGTAAGGGGCTTAACCCTTAGCTTCCCAAATCCGCCAAACTGCTACTTGCAAAATGGAAGATTTTGCAGGATTAATTAAGGATAAATGGCAAAAGTGTGTGGCTGATTTTAGAGGATGCACTGTGTCAAGGTCTTGGGCTGGACATTGTGTTGTTTGATGCTCAGCCGTGCATACATTTAGGCCTAGATTATACAAGGTTGAAATCCTTCGCACTGCTCCAGGATGTCACTGGCTCTGCCTCAACATATTGACAGTGATTGCTGCAGGATTTTGAGGCTGTATGCATTTTTTACATGGAGGCAGTTGGAGGATTTTGAAGAATTGAGATCGCATCCCAACAAAAATGCCTAGGGAGTTAGGCAGGGGTGTGAAATCTCAGCTTTAAAGCTGATTTCAGCTTTTTTCTCTCACTTGTTGTGTACAAAGTGTAGGAGATTTCCAAAGTTCAGCTTCTTTACACCTTTTTCAGCTATATTTATCAGTGGTCACTCACACCCCTGGTTAGGGTTATTGAAAAAAAAAATCTTGATTTGTATCTTTGCAGCTGGTGTTATAGACAGGGACTATCGGGGTAACGTTGGCGTTGTTATGTTTAACCTTGGCAAGGAGGACTTCAAAGGTTGGTTTGCTTCTTTTTTTTTCTTCTTTTTTTAATAAAAAAGAAAAGGAGGGATCGTGATTCGTTCATCTGTGGATTTTTTTCCCCATTGTTCATTCTTAAATTTGTTACTCCACTCATTTTTGTGTGCTTTGTTTATTTTGACAATATCAGGACTCTTCAGACTAGTGCATGACAAATAGAATTTTTACTGAGGTTTTATCGGGAAAACTTTGCAGATGCCCCTCTTCCAAAACTTAATCTTTGTCTGGCATCTTTTGCATGCTGTTTTCAATGTAGAATGTATTAGTCATTGACAACAAAAGTAAAATTGCGTCCATTTTCCAGTTATTTTTGAAACCGTCAACACTTTGCCCGTTAATTGTTGTTGAAAATCTGAAAAGTCTGTATTTTTCTTTCAGTGGAGAAGGGTAGCCGCATCGCACAATTGATATGCGAGAGAATACTCTATCCCGAGTTGGAAGAAGTGACAAAAGAAGTAAGCATTTTATGGTTGAATACTTTCAGAGTTTGAGATCTTGTATTAGATAATCATTTTAATTGTATTAATTTGTTGCAAGTTCATTTCTATGCTTTCCATTGCCCCCCCAAAAAACTAAAATTGTTTTGCGAAAAGATTTCAACATTTGCCATGAGGACTACATTAGTGACAGCCAATCAATACTATCTATTGCAATAATTTGTATTTAAAACTCATTCCAAACATTTGATTCATTTAGAAAATAAATAATTGGAAACTAAGGCCAAAAAAAATAAGTCTCCGGTTTCTGGTATGGAGCTTGTCCAAAAAGTGGTGCGGCGACGCGGCTTTTTTTTTTTTTTTTTACCTGACTTTTTTGCTTTAAATGTCGGCTGATGACTGCAAATGGTGCCTGACTAAACTTAGTGCAAATATATGGGAGTCCAGAGAGGCCACATGAAGCTTATTCTCGATCATAACCCCATCTAAAAACACGTTAAAATTGTGCAGTAGCAGGATTCCAATCAAACCAGTGAGTTTGGCGGTTTTGAGACATCATCTTTCATTAAAAAAAAAACTTTTTCATTTTGCCGACGCGCATGGCTACGGCGACGCGCGCGCATACCAGAAACCGGAGACTTTTTTGGGGGGGGCTAAGTCACTTTAACGCAGGAAATGCAATTACCAAAAAATAATTGTCATTCAATTTTAATATATGTACTTGTACTTTTATCATTGTCAAGCAAAATGATTACTTTATTTGCAAACGAATGCCTTTTTTTTCTCGGTCAAATATCCACAATCCTTGTATTCTTTCATTCTTTTTTTTCCCACAGGAACTGACCGAGACCAAACGTGGTAGTGGTGGATACGGATCAACAGGAACCAAATGAGCATTTTACCAAAATGACCACCGCATACGTTTCCTCGTTCAAACAGTGACCAACCCATCTTGTCAATAGAACTAACAAGATTTCAGTTTGTGCAAATACATCTCCTTGTCTGGTTTGCATAACCGAAGGCAAAAGTGTTGAAGGTTTCTGTAATACACAAAATCACCGTAATTCCTGATGCTTCAAAATCCAGAAGGAGGTTTTTGGTAGGATTTTGTAGGATTTAGGAAGATAAAGCTCAGGCACTGTAAATTCATTCATTGTTTTGACGCTTCTTGAAAGTTTCAGTACAGAGAGTGCCCCACTGGTGTTCTGAGGATTCATTAATTAAAATGCTTATATTGCAGGCCAGTTCATGTGAGTGCGATGTGAATTTGACGTCACAAAGCATTCACGTTGAAATGTGTTCAACTTTTGCGAATTTGAGTAAGAACCGGCCTTCAAGGGATGAGGGATTGACGTAAAGTTATGAAATGTTTGAAAAATTTGCATAAGGGAAAATGTCCATTCTACCATGATGCTAGTCCTGGCAGTAGTATGAAAACTGGAACATGGAGCAATATTCTCGCTTGGAAAAGGGTTTTAAAGAGTTTTCTGACCGGCAGAGGAAATACATATTGGAAAATTGATAACACCTTTGTTTAAACCCCAGCAGCCCAGCCCCCTCCCCCCGGTGCCACCCTACTCCGGCTTCGACCCCACCCCGGCTTCGACCCCACCCCTGTCCAACAACTATTATTTATTTAATTACTTACAAGGGTGCAGAATTCGTGGATGGGCATTTTGACTTGCCAATTTGAATTGCAGTTAAGGTTACCACACTCGTCATTCGTTCTTTAATTGTGATTTATTAAAAAGTTGCCATTGTGACTTCAAGGCTGACTTGCTTGAAGTTGACAATAATTTATATACATGTATATTTAAAAAAAAACAAGCCATAAGGCCAAATAAAAAAAATTTAAAAACATGTTTAGCGTCCCTGCCCAATTGCTTTTTGGAGGCTGGCTCCCTTTATTGTTTTTTTTTATTGAAAAAAAAACACCAAAATGATAAATTGAAAACAGTGACATCATTTTGGCGTCTTTGTATGTTGCATCTCGCCCATATAAAGCTGGTATGTCATTTCCTGAGTCCAAATGGCGGCCATCTTGAAAAAGAGCTGGGTCGGGCGGCCATTTTGGAAAAAAAGGGGCATCCTTCCTTTTTTTTTAAAAGGCAGGACACTAAACATGTTTTTTTTTATTTGGCCTTGCTTTAAAAAATATATATATATTGGACGAGCTGAAATATGGCTGAACATTTTTTTTATGTGGCTCCATAATCAGCTAGCTGTTTATGCATTCAAGTGTTATAATTTAGAGTTCATTTAAATACTTGTTACACTGGGACAGTTTTCATCTTTATGATTTTGAGTAATTGTTGGTATATAAAAAAATTTCTACCATTGCTTTATATCCTCACAAGTATTACACTATAATTTGTTTAACATATTTGAAAGAAAAACTGCTTCCAAGCTTTTGGTTTTCTGAAAATAAATGTAAACATGTATTGGATTTTTATTCATCGACTCGTTGGCTTTGATTACTTATTTTTTTTTAATCCATTAACGGGTTTCCAACAGTCATTAGAAATCCTGGAATTCAAAGCTGAAAAGTCTAATCTTATGGCATAAGCTCTTGGAGGCTATATTTTGTGGGGTGATGAAGGCCATCATTTTGGAGACGAATTGATTCGGTAACTTTTATAGTATTTTTTATGAAAAATAATGATGGGTACTTATATATCACTTTTAACTACGATCAAAGCGCTTTACATTATTATTACCCCTGATCACTGGGCCAATGAGACATTCTAGATACAATATCAGCTCCCAGGGGAGTATACAGCTCGGTGGGGCCACTTCGGCGCGAGGCAGCTAAAATCAATAGTAGTAAGGGAGGCGGGGGTGCTGGACTTTGTCATAGGTCTGTGGGTAGTACAGGGCCATTAATGAGAAGTCTGGGTACCAGACTTTGTCATAGGTCTGTGGGTAGTACAGGGCCAATGGGAAATCCCCCGATCTCAAGAAAAAAAAAAATAAAAAAAATAAAAAAAATAAATCTAACGGAGAGAGAGTGAGAGAAAGAAAAAATATCTGACGCCGGGAGAGAGAAAAAAAAAAAAAAAAAAAAAATCCTGACGCCGGGAGAGAGAGAGAGAAAAAAAAAAAAAATCTCTGACGCCAGGAGAGAAAAAAAAAAAAAAAAAAAAAAAAAATCTGACGCCGAGAGAGAGAGAGAAAAAAAAATTAAAATCTGTCATCGCTAAAATGAGGTGATGTCACCACCACGTGACCTTGAAAAATGTGGGAGTCACCACCACGTGACCTTGAAACGTGTTGAGGCACGATAAAATTTTGGCGTAAACAACGCGACCTTGAAACGTGTTGAGGCACGAATGAGGTGAGTCTAATTATTTATAAATCTAAAAGTCTAACCTCAAAAAAAATGAAGAAAAAATATTATATTTCCTATAATAAATGGAGGGTAATATGTTTAGACCGACCGTCAAAGGATATTCTAAATGGAACAAAGCCACACTGCGTGATTACGTGCAGCGGTATAGTATACCACACAATGAAAATGTTTCTCTTACTCGTAAAGTTTACATCGAGGGGATAAAACATTATGAAAGTAAATTTAAAAACTTGAGGAAAAAGACACTACATGAGCTCAAACAGATTGTAGACGAACACAATCTAGAATACGTACCGACGGGTTATAAAGGACGAGTTTTGAAAAAAGATTTAATCTCGGCGATTAAAACATACAGACAACCCGAATACTTTACAGAGTCAGCTTTTAGAGAAACGAGAAGGTTTAGAAATTACTACAGAAACTGGGAATTAAACCCCAGACTTTATAACCATGATTTAATCAAGTTTTTTGATTCGCACAAGGAACAAATAGTCAATAAAATCAAGTCTGAATTGAGAGAGCTGAGAGGTTTAAAAATGGAGCTCACAATCAAAATAAAATACGAAAAAACCAAACCGGATGGTACGATCGAAACGATCGAAGCTATTCATTATAGCAAGCAAAAAGCCGTTTTAAATCAAAGTCAAATAAAACAGGCTTTAAAAGAAGAGATCGAAGAGCTATTCAAAAAAGATGAAAGGTATACGAATCAAGGATCGGGTTGGGTTTTAAAAAAGATAATGGCGTTATACATCAACATCAACAGATATAATCCAGCGAGAGGTAGTTCCTACATAGACCTACCCGAATATCTTAAAATTAAGAAGGCGATGATCAACATCAAAAACAAAGACGACGAGTGTTTGAGATGGTGTTTGAGAGCTGCTCTTGAGTTGTATACGGATAAAGTAAAAAATCAAATAAGAAATAATCCTAATTATAAAATTCATAAAGAAGAACCTGTTGTATACACCAAAGACGACGGACTCAGTTTTAAAGGCGTTGACTTTCCGACACCGGTCGATCAGATACCCAAGATAGAAAGACAAAATAATTTATCGATAAACGTATATGGTTATGAGGGTGAGATATATCCATTATACGTGTCTAAAAACTACAAGGGGAAAGAGATCGATCTGCTTTTGATTTCTAAAGGTGACAAGCATCACTATTGTTGGATAAAAGATTTTACGAGGTTGATATACGACGTTACGAAACATAAATGTAAGAAATATTTTTGTCGAAGATGTCTTTGTCATTTTACCAATCAAAACAAATTAGACAAACATATCGCCGATTGTAAGGGTATAGATACACATCCATCAAAGATTGTATTTCCTCTGGGTAAACCAAAATACATAGACGGGCAACCAAGTGAAGAGAGAGACGTACCGATATTAGAATTTAAAAACTATAGGCACAAACAAAAAGCACCATTTGTCATTTATGCCGACTTTGAATCCATATTACAAACAACAACATCCACAGATAAAGAGACAAACACAAAAAAGATTAACGTTCACAAAGCTAGCGGTTATTCGCTAGTTGTCGTCCGATGTGACGGTAAAAATGTATATCAAGAGACTTATAGAGGCAAAGACGCTTCAACTAGATTTATAACGACGTTGTTACAATTACAAAGCGATATTAATTGCATATTTGAAAAACCCCAAACCATGAAATTTAACGAGCGAGCTAAAGACCATCACGATACAACAAACACGTGTTGGATTTGTGAAAAACCAATTTATCTCAATTACTCGAGCAACTGTCAGTGCCAGAAACCCAGGGAACCCAAGACGATAAAACAAATAAAAGAATATCAGTGCAAAAACAAAAAAGGATTTACCGAGTCTAAATGTCTCGACTGTAAAAAGAAAATCAACAAATTTAGAAAGGTGAGAGATCACTGCCACGTCACTGGTAAATATAGAGGTGCCGCACACGCCTATTGTAACCTCAAACTACAAATTAAACCCGGTTGTACACCGATACCAGTCTTTTTTCACAATCTACAAAATTACGACGCACATTTAATCATGCAGGGAATGACAGAATACGATAGTCAAACAGAAATACAAGTGATCGCTAAAAATTCAGAAAAGTATATTTCGTTTTCGATAGGAAATCTACGATTTCTAGACTCGTTTAGTTTTATGAGATCGTCGTTGGATAAATTAGTGAAAGCTTGCCCAAAAGAGTCGTTTCAGCTACTCAAAAAGCATTTTAAACATTCTGACTTGCTATTACAAAAAGGAATTTATCCCTACGAATATATGGACTCGTTTGATAGATTTCAAGAGACCAGCCTACCACCCATCGGCAAGTTTTACAGCAGACTAAAAGACGAACATATATCGCAACAAGACTACGACAGAGCTCAACGCGTGTGGAACGAGTTTAATATACACAATCTAGGAGAATATCACGACTTGTACGTGACTACCGATACGTTATTACTTGCAGGCGTATTTGAAAACTTTAGAAGAACGTGTATTACAAACTACGGGTTAGATCCAGCCAATTATTACACCGCACCCGGATTATCCTGGGATGCTCTATTAAAACACTCGGAAGTTAAACTCGAACTATTGCAAGACGTAGACAAACATTTATTTTTTGAAAAAGCAAAACGAGGAGGCATATCGAGCGTGGGTGGAATGAGACATCACAAAGCCAATAATCAATATCTCGATGACTACGATTCAAACAAACCCTCGAGTTATATCGCTTATCTGGATGCCAACAATCTGTACGGTTGGGCTATGAGTCAATATCTACCGTACAGCGATTTTAAATGGACACCCTCGAAACCGTTTACCGAAGAAAGAATATTAACGCTGAAGAAAACGTCAAACACCGGTTATTGCTTTGAAGTAGACCTCGATTATCCGAACGATCTACACACCAAGCATAACGATTTTCCCCTAGCACCAGAAAACATCATCATACCCCAAGAGTGGATGTCTGATTATCAAAACGAATTATTAGATACCGAACCTAGTAGCGACGTACAAAAATTAACGTGTACCCTCAATCCAAAACAAAAATACGTGTTGCACTACGTCACATTACAATTGTATCTCAAACTCGGTTTGAAACTAAAAAAGGTACATCGCGTGTTAAAATTTAAACAAGCGCCTTGGATGAAATCTTACATCGACAAAAACACACAACTCCGAACCAAAGCGACCTCTGATTTTGAGAAAGACTTTTTTAAACTGATGAATAACAGCGTGTTTGGTAAGACGATGGAAAACGTTAGAAACCGAATAGACGGTTACCTACTGAGAGATAATAACGAGAGCGATCAAGAAAAATACAAAAAAATAATTCAAAAACCGAGCTATAAAACAACAACGCCGTTTCCAGAATGTGACCTGTCGTTTGTCGAAACGTACAAGACTAAAACCTTGTTAAACAAACCAATCTACTGCGGAGTGAGTATCTTAGATCTCTCAAAGACGCTGATGTACGATTTTTATTACAATCGATTGAAAGACAAGTACGGAGATCAAATCAGGTTGATGTATACTGATACGGACAGTCTGTTGATTGTCGTTTACACGGATGACATATACGAAGACATACAATCTCACGGGCAACACTACGACTTTTCAAATTACCCAACAGATCATCCTTTGTACAATCCAACCAATAAGAAAGTGATCGGTAAATTTAAAGACGAGTTTGGAGGTAAGGTCATTCAAGAAGCAGTTTGCGTAAGACCTAAGATGTACTCGATTTTAGCGGATGACAACAACATCACTCTTAAAAAAGCCAAGGGGGTCACAAAATCGGTCACTGACAAAAAATTAAAACACCAGCACTACTACGACTGCATCTTTAAAAATAAATCTAAAACAGAAACGATGACTCACATTAGGTCGGAAAATCACATCCTTTACACCATATCTCAAAATAAACTATCGTTGAGTCCGTTGGATACCAAGAGGTACATTTTACCGGATGGAATACACACGCTCGCTTATGGTCACCGCAATCTAGATATTAATTAGGCGGTAATTGCGTGTCCTCGGGTACGACTTGAAGCTCTTGTCTCACAAAACTCCTTTTTGGGCCGTTTTGAAGGTAATAAAGAGTAGGACCCGTCGTGACTTTTTTACCGTTAATCATTTTAAATTGACTCGTTCGTTTTTCCACGTTATAAATGTCTACGCTCCAAATGGGATCCGTGGCTCTTCTCGAGGTTCCACCCTCTTGCTCGCCCGGGTAATATAAATATCTAACCATGGCATCTTGCGGTAATTGTTGCTCTTTTGTTTTAACGGGGTTAGCCGGCGATTGCCGGACCTGTTCTAGTTTAACCGCCTCTGACGGCGCTTTAGCTATTAATCTCGTCGTTTCATCATTTATTGCCTTGACCACGCTGGGTAATCGTTCGACCCATTGCGTGTTTCTACTCTCGGGATTTAACATTTCTTGAGCGTACTGATGACCAAACAGTCTCTCGGCTAGCGTTCGATTAAATCTTTCTACGATACCCTGCGATCGGTGGTTTCCTGGTTCACCTACGATAATCTCGACGTTTTTTGAAGCCATCCATTTTTTAAATGCACCTTTAAATTCGGTACCGGCATCTACTCTCAACGTTTTAGGGTAACTCAAAGGCGACCTCGCGTAAATCTTGACGATAGCATCCTGGGTAGAATCCGCCGTTTTAGAAACCAAAGGTTCTGCTTCGTGGTATCGACTCGCAACGTCGACAACCGTCAAAGCGTATTTATAAGTCTTGCGTTTTACTTTATCCCAGGGTAGGTATAGCACATCCATTTGGTGAAAGTCGTTTGGTGTTTCAAACTCTCGCGAAGTACTCGTAGGCCTGGGTACATACGCAGGAGCCGGCAGATAAATTTGCCAGATCGCTTGTTTTTTAAGCCAATCCTTGATTACCTTTTTATCGAATTTGGTTTTATCGTGTAAATGGTCGACGGCGCTTTCACCTCTCCAATAACCACTCGGGCTATAATACAGTTTTTGAAGTTTATCCATCATTTATTATAATAATAATTTAAAAGGCTTTATACATTAAATAGATGGCGTCAGCTTTTGCAATGATGGTTGGAGGTGCGATCGTAAACGCCTTAGCTTTTGGGGGTTCAAACTTTTTATTTTCAAGTCTAAGGGATGATGGCAGCGAAGAGCGTAAGAGACACGATTTAGCGACAGAACAACTCTCGGCCGCCAAATATCAGTGGCAACGAGAACGAACAAAACGACTCGATTTTCTCAACGAACGTATCAGAAAACAAAATGCCTCTAAACAAACATTTTCCAACGTAGACCAAGCGTTGCGTTACTACAACGAAATGACCGGAGAAAACGTCGAGTTACCCCGCGAACCCAAACTCGAAGATTTTTACGAGCCTAGCGACGAACAAATAGAAAGAGAACTGGTGTTTATCGCGGGAGGAACGCTTTTGGTGGGCTTCTTGGCTTACAGATACCTTTAAATTTAAAACTCGTATAAATAAAATGAATGCGTACGGAAAAAAGCTCAATCCCAGCAGGCTATTAAAAATACCCAGATCTATCAAGGGTGAGAGAAAAGAGGTGGTCATTACCCACAATCCTAGTAGTATATCGGCGGGGCAAACGCTGAGAGTTAAGTTTCCTCAATTGGGCGTAGACGACGTGATCGTACCCGACACTTGTAAACTAGCTTTTAATTTAGAACTCGACGGTGGAAGCGACGACAATAGAACCATTTTTGGTAATTTGGCCAGAAATTTAGTCAGCGAAATCAGCGTCAGGCTTCAAGGTCACGAAATTATAAGTTATCGTCACGCCGACGTGTATCACAACTTTAAAGACAATTGGATCAACAGCTCGACAACTCGAAACATGGCGTACTCGGGCATAGAGAAAGAAAACGTGTCTAAACTAAGAATGGGAGCTGGAGATGCTAACGCGGGTGCCAACAGCGGTAAAGATCAAGCTATCGCGGATGCCTATGGTAACAGATATTGTATTCCCCTAGACATTGACATACTGACTTCGCATCACCCTTTTTACCCCAGCGGTTTAAAACAACCTCTGACGTACGAGATAAAGTTTAACGATCACGATAAAGTAGTCAACAGTTCAGATACGGCGGCGATGTACAGTATCTCAGACTTGTCTCTCGAATACGAAGTGGTGACCAACAGAGACCTAGCCATCACCATCAGGAATAAACACAAGGGGTTAATGCAATATCTGTTTGATAAAATCCACTCGCTAGAAGTTAGATCCGTCAACAAATCGGACACGCTTTGGAACGTCAGCGTCAATCAACCCATCAGGAGTCTCAAGGGTATTTTGTTTTTGTTTAAAGATCCCAATGAGAAAAGCCCGCAGCGATTTTATAATCCAAAACTAACCAAAACATCGGTGACTGTAGAAGGTAAACCCAATCAACTCTACAGTCAAGGCATGTTTCAATATCAACACTGGAACGAAATTAGCAAGTTCTTTGGAGACAGCGATACCGAAAGCGGGCGTGGAGTAGCTAAAGACTTGAATTTGACGGGTTGTGACCTCGGAGACTATCTAAAAAACAAGTACGGTCTGTGGCTCGATTTTAGAAGTAACGACGACAATTTCGCTCACGGATCCGGTAGGAAACTCGGAGACGGAGGAGGCATCAACGTTCAATTTAACAGAGAAGCCGAAAGCCAAGGTGACCTCACGATGTACGTCTTTTTGGTCATGGATGCTCAATTGACCTTGGAAGACGGAAATTTTAAATCTCTGTTAAGTTAAAATGACACAACCGCATTGTGCTTTAATCGTCGGCAAAACAAATTCGGGTAAAACCAAATGGATTTTGGATCTGTTAGAGTCAGACTATAAAAACGTATTTGAAGTTATAGTCATCATTTGCCCTACCATATTTAAAAACAAAACGTACATCTCCAGAAAGTGGATTCAAGCAGATCCTGAGGTATACCTCTGCGATCCGGAATTGTACAAGATGACGCTCAACGAAGCGATCGATTTTTACAGTAAAATATTCGAAGGTGTTGCCACGCTGTTTATCTTGGACGATTGCTCTTCGGATCAAGAGATTAAATATCGTAAAAAGACGTGTGCGCTAAGCAAGATGGCGTTTAGCGGAAGACACATAAATCACAGCTGTTGGTTACTGACCCAAAAGTACAACAGCGTTTTAAAAGATTATAGAGAAAACACGGCATGGTTAGCGTTATTTTACTGTAAAGATAAAACATCGTTTGATCAAGCGTTAGATGAAAACGACGTCGTACCCATTGAAGAACGAGATTATATAAAACGACGTTTGAGAGATGTGAAATATAGTAAATTAGTCGTGTACACCGAACCTCCAGTTAGTTACGAGCTACTTGAGTAGGTTAATAACCTAACTGCTCAACTAAAATAACCTAGGTGCTCAAGTGAAATAAGTTAGGTGTTTAACTAAAATAAGCAAGGTGCTCAAGTTAAATTACCTAGCTTAGTAGCAAATATGACCTAGCTTAATAGCAACCTATTCAACAAGCTATACATGTATTACAATTTGTTAATCAACAAACGTCAACAAAATACATTTTGCTGTTAGTAAATGATAGCAATATTCGAGTATTTGCAGTTTTTGGCTATTATCGTCATATCGATTAATTTATCGTTTTACACCTATGAGTACCTTTGCCTTTGTAACAAAGTTGCAACAGCCACAACAAAATTAAATTCGTTTCTAATTAAATGGAAGACCTAAAACTGGCTTTAACGAACGAACAAGATCACAACGCAGAACATAAAGATCGTTTGTGCGGTGTCATAGCAGCCGGAAACTCTAGAAAGTACTTGGGAAAGGAATACACCGTTAAACAAATCGAAGCTCTTGACAGCAAAGAACTCGACAAATTATATCATCTGTACGAAACTAAATTTGGAAATGAAATTGTTAAAACCGTTGGTAAATACACTTTAAGTCTATTTTCGAGAGTGTTAGCTGTTGTTACACCCGTACAAGTTTTAGGCTATAACGTCACTATAGATTCTGAAGAAGAACTCACCAACGACTTGAGTTCCGATCCTATTATAAGCGCGAGTATGGCTGGTATGTTGAGCGACGTTTGTTACAAGTACGGAACTTTAATATCACCCTTAGTTGCTACGATTATCACAACAAAACATTTGAAATTTAATAAACCTAATATAATAAATGGAAGATCAGAAAGCAACGACAGCACCGATCACAGCTCAACCAGCAGAGACAGAGACGCCCCAACCGATAAAAACAACGTCGTCACCGACGGTAACGAGAGTGACCAAGACTAAAAATCCTAAACGAATTCAGCAGGGTAAAGCTTTAGCCGAGCACAATAGACAGATGAAATTAAAATTAGCAAAAATGAACGTAACATCGGACGATAATACGAGCTCACCGGACTACAACTCCTGGGCGATGTGGGGAGCTATAGCGTCTATAATAGGAGTGGGGCTGCTGGTACTAAAAAGTAAGGTGACTGCGCCGGTAGTACAGCCAGTGCCGGTAGTCACGCAACCCACTACACCCAGCGCCCCCAAAACGCTAGACATGGAATAGATCAGACCTTTTAGGTCTGTAGCTAAACCAGCAATTTAAAAATTGTTATATTAAAAACGATGAGTAACTTTGACACCAACGGAATAGCTAATACGATTTATCACGGAGCCGTCATATCGGGTCTGGTGATGGGATACGCCATGGTAGGAGCTAAACTACTCAAAATGAAAGCGCCGGATTTAAGCAAACTAAGCGTAGAAGATGCGGGTAAATTGACGGGTATTATAAGTGGAGCTCTGGCCACGCAAAATTGGCTGGTGACACAGGGTATACTACCGGGCAGTATAATGAAAACGGCATAATTTAAATAGGTTTATTAAATAAATGGATGAGGGAGGATTTTATGATCCAGACTACGAAAGAACAGATGATTACGACGATGATGATTATGACGATGATGAT